AAAATCTTAAGAAAAAAAAAAAGACCCTGATCTGACAAGCCTTGGGTCATATGGTTTACCTCTTTATCAGTCAGCTATTGAGGGGCTAGGGGTGAGGAAGCAGCAGGGTAAAAAATAAAAAAATAAAAAACAAACAAACAGAAATATAACTGCTGGGGAGTCACCCTATGTAAAGGACCCTTTACAGGAAAAGAAATTACTGAGCCTGGCAGCTACCTTTTTGGGGTCTACTGCATTCCCCTTCCATGTCTTTATGTTTTTTAATGAAGATCTAATGTAGGACTAAATGGGAAATTATATCTATGAAAGTTGAGTTTAATGAACGATAAATTATGTTTGTGTTTAGATTTTTTAATGTAAACTTAAATTCCTAAAAAAAAGAAAAAATTGCTGGAGTTGCTTAAACACTCCTTTGAGAGAGTAGAAGCCTCTACTTCTACTACTGAGGAAAGCATCTGTTCTTTCATTCTTTCAACACATATTCAGTGATGATCTACCACGTGTGCTATACTATCCTAATAAGCAAGAAAATCAAAACTGTAAACAGATATAGTCTCTACCTTCCATTCCTCTATACATGCTGTCCTGTCTGCCCGAAATAGTGCTTTCTGTCCCTGCCCTTTCACATCCAGTTGTCAAATTCTTTTTTTTTTAAAGATTTTATTTATTTATTTGAGAGAGAGAAAGAGGGAGAGATCATGAGCAGGGGGGAAAGATAGAAGGAGAAGCAGACTCCCCGCTGAGCAGGGAGCCTGATGAGGGATTCGATCCCAGGACCCTGAGATCACGACCTGAGCCGAAAGCAAACGCTTAATCGACTGAGCCACCCAGGAGCCCCTAGTTGTCAAATTCTCAATCCATCACTGAAGACACAAGGGAGATCTTGAGCTCCTCTCCACTATGCTACGTATTTTATGCATACCTTTATTATTAGAGTTCTATTTTATTATTAGAGCCACTAGAGTTCTTTGTTTACCTGGATTGTGAGCCCCTAGAAGATAAGAATTGTGTCTTAATCTCCTATCTCCAGTACCTAAGACAGTGTCTTCTGTTGAGTAGGCAATTAATACATGTTTGATGAACAAACAAATGAGTGACCTCTGCCTAGCAGAATCAGGGAAGGCTCCAGAGAAATGAATCTTTTTTTTTTTTTAAAGATTTTATTTATTTGACAGAGACACAGCGAGAGAGGGAACACAAGCAGGGGGAGTGGGAGAGGGAGAAGCAGGCTTCCCGCTGAGCAGGGAGCCCGATGCTTGGCTCGATCCCAGGACTCTGGGATCATGACCTGAGCCGAAGGCAGACGCTTAACAACTGAGCCACCCAGGCGCCCCAAGAGAAATGAATCTTAAAAAATTAACTGAGAAATTAAGTACAGAAAAAATACACACATACACACACAAATGTATGTATGCACAGACCTTCCCAGTTGTTACAGTTTCCTGTCATGGAGTGTCATAAACCATGCTATGTAGCTGGCAATGAGGTATTCTAAGAGTAACCAGGTTGGAGCCTGGACAGGACACAACTTTGAAGCATCTAATAGGAGTGAATTCCAATCCGGGAGAAATAGGCAATTGCAATACCAAGGACCTTTTCTGAGCAGGTGTCAAAATTTGAGGGAGGTTCGGTTTCAGTAGACTAGGGCTGGAGCAGGAAGACAAAATGGAGACCTGTAGAGTGGGGCTAATTATCTAATTAAAGGTATACAGAAAATGAGGCTAGGAAAATGGGCAATTAGGCTGTCAAGAGGCCAGGTTCTATCCTATCAGCTAGGGCCCAGGGCTAATTCCCCTAGTCTCCTGTGGAGACCAGGGAAGTTGCCTGACCACTGTAAAGTAGATTCTGTGGCTGGCAGTAAAGGTTGAGATTCTTGTTTAGGACCACAAAAGACTCCAAAGAATGTGTACTAGTTTGAAGGAGATAGCTGGACTCATGCTACTAAAATCCCACGTTCGAAGAAGGGCTAGGCTAATCTTGGAAGTGGTTGGATTCTCATGAGGGATGTTTGAGGCTGAAACCTACTCAGGATCCAGTTACTTGTCTCATTACTTCTGTTTCCTTCACTTGTTTTTCTCATAATTATATTTTTCTCTGTCAAAAAATTCTACATGATAATTACAGAAAATTTGGGAAATAAAGAATTTTGACTATTTAAAAATGTTTTATTATGAAAGATTCTAGGAGAGGGGTGCCTGGGTGGCTCAGGCATTGAGTGTCTGCGTTCGGCTCAGGTCATGACCTCAGGGTCCTGGGATCGAGCCCCACATCAGGCTCCATGCTCCACGGGAAGCCTGCTTCTCCCTCTCCCACTTCCCCTGCTTGTGTTCCCTCTCTCGCTGTGTCTCTCTCTGTCAAATAAATAAATAAAATCTTTAAAAAAAAAATTCTAGGAGATATATATATCTTTGAGAGCAGGGACTGGGTCTTAACTATCCAGTCATCCTTGTATCTCCAGTATCTAGCATGTGGTAGTCACTCCCAATGTCTGTGGAATAAATATAATGAAGCATGTTGTGGTGATAATTTGTTGCTCACAGATAATAACCATGTTCTGTTTCCTTTCAGGAGAATATCTAAGAAGAAAAGGAAATTAAGTCATCAGAGGACTATGAAAGACAGCTTTTATTATTTTAGGAAATAGATCCTAAAGAAAAAGTCATGCCTTATTTTGTGGTTGAAAACACTAGGAAGAAGATACTAAAAAGGAAGAATGAGTTAAGGGAGCAATTTTTCTTATTTCAAGAGATCCTCTTCTTTAATTGGAATTCTTTGATAAGCTTTACTTGGTTTTTTTGTTTGTTTTTTTAAATGTTGGCCATTGACATGAGTGTGACCAACCTGATCACTGCCCAGGGCATATCTGTTGAGAGACTCCTCCATGAGTGTCTTGCACTCCCATGCATCTTGCTGGGTATGCCAAGAATGCAAGGCTCTAACAACTCTTCATCCAGACCATTTCTCAGGGTGATTTTGCAGAAAGCAACCTTGAACAACGAAGTAATGCCTCCCTTCAGAACAAAGAGCAAACTTTCTTACTGCTTGCTATAAAAGAGGTAAGTTCCCTGAACTCAGAGCTGTAATGCAGCTCACTACATGTGTGACATCCATCTGGTCCACATCACCCCTGTAGGACTTGGGGAGAAGGGCAACACAAAGGCCACACTTTGGGCCACTAATCAAGGTATTTATTGGACATTCCACACTCCCCACCATCTGCAGACATCTGATTTGTTGAACATTGGGAAGACCTTTCAAAAGTCAACTCAAAAGAATTTTTTAAGAATCAACTCAAGAAGATTTTTTTTTTTTTAAAAGATTTTATTTATTTATTTGACAGAGAGACACAGTGAGAGAGGGAACACAAGCAAGGGGGAGTGGGAGAGAGAGAAGCAGGCTTCCCGCTGAGCAGGGAGCCCAATGCGGGGCTTGATCCCAGGACCCTGGGATCATGACCTGAGCCGAAGGCAGATGCTTAACGACTGAGCCACCCAGGTGCCCCTCAACTCAAGAAGATTTTTGACTTTATCTCCTTGACTTCCTCCTAGTCCACACAACTTAGTATGGTTAATGAATGCAACCTTCTCCAGAAAAGGTTCATCTCCTCTTGGTCACCTCCTGTGGGATGATCAGGACAATAAGGGTGGGGAGCTATAGAACCTATTTTGAAAATTCAGGATTCCACCCTGATCATTTCTGGGCATGATACATCTTTCTTTCCCTTAGTGGCAACTCCAGGCCAACCTGGTTGGTACACTCTCAGGTGTCTCTGAAAAGGGAACACTTTACACCACTGTCATCAAGTCTTAGACCTCTTGCAGTTCTTGACATTATCAAGCAACAAGGTATAATTTTCTGAATTCCAAAAACATGCTATCTGGGGCTTTCCATGTAGATCTGCCTATAGATTTTGGCATCAGTCCTCATGCAAATGGTTTCTCCTTGTAAATAAGCACATTGACATCTAGACTTTATAACTTAGTCATGTGGATTATATACTCACTCTCCACATGCTGTCAAGCTGGGTTTTGAGCCTCTAAGGCAGAAGGTCTGACTCTAAAGTAATCTCTAAAGTGCTATAGGCCATCATGAAGCCTCTTGCCTGCTCACCAGCTGGTCAGCCAGCCTTTCCTGGACACATACCCACTGCACTGCTGGGAGCCTCATGGGGCCCTTTTTATAAACCTCCTCAAGGCAAATGCCCCACTGTCTGGAGCCCCCCTATGCACATCTGTCCAGTTACTTCCTATAATTCTCATCACAAAGTTCCAACTATATCCAGCTATTCAGAGAGACCCACAAAAGTGACCCTTTGGTGGTAGCCACTGAATTCCTGCAGAGTTGCCCAGGGACCCGATGATCATCTGAAACATCAGGGGTCTCCAAATGAGGGAGATTTGTGTCCTGGTGGTCCACAAAGACCTTAGAACGGACACACAGGTGCGAATGGATTGAAGCGATTGATTTTTTTCCCAGATCTTCAATTTCCATATGTACTTGCCTAAAGCTGCTGAGACTGAGGAGTCCTGTCAACTTTGCTTCCCACCTCCCCTCCCCAAGCTCCCTTCCCCCAGGATACAAAAGAAAGGTGTACTCTCATCCAGCCCCAATCTTACTGCGATGCTTGGCTTGGAAAAGGAAAACTCTTTTATTTATTTATTTATTTATTTATTTGAGAGAGAGAGGGAGAGAGAGAAACGGCATGAGAGCGGATGGGGTCAGAAGGAGAAGCAGGCTCCCCGCTGAGCCGGGGGCCCGATGGGGGCCTCGATCCCAGGACTCCGGGATCATGACCTGAGCCGAAGGCAGTCGCTTAACCAACTGAGCCACCCAGGCGCCCGGAAAGGAAAACTCTTAAATATTTTTTAATGTTTTAAAATCCATCCTCTGTTGTCAAAAATTACATTATATATGAAGGAGAGATCCATGAGAATAAAGTAAAAGGAGCATTAGTGAGAAATAGTGAAAATCTTTATATCATTTGTCTTGGAGAGGAAGGGTCTATGTCTTACCTATCTATATTTCTTAAAATTCAGAAGCAAGATGATTGTCATAGGACATGTATTAACATGATTTTTTTTTAAGATTTTATTTATTTATTTGACAGAGAGAGACACAGTGAGAGAGGGAACACAAGCAGGGGATGTGGGAGAGGGAGAAGTAGGTCCCCCGCCCCGATGCGGGGCTCAATCCCAGGACCCTGGGATCATGACCTGAGCCAAAGGCAGATGCTTAACGACTGAGCCACCCAGGCACCCCTGTATTAACATGATTACTTGGATTGAAAAATGAGAAACCTTCTCTGATAGGAAGTAATTTTATTTGGCTGATTATTTAACAATGAGGACTGGCTTTGCCAATAAGAATGTCACAGATGTTTTTCATAATTAAGTCTGCAGCTTCCAGATGTTAATGAAAATATATTTGAAGTATATGATAAGGTAGAAGGACTTGATTTTTAAAAATTGTCTTAGCAAAAGTGTATTGAAATTAACATTTTTACTTTCTGAATCCTTTGTGAGTATATCAATTTAAACAAGGTGTCTCTAAGTGAAAAAATAGCAGATATAATTGATAATCATTTGATAAATCTTTATGAAGCTTTGTTAGTATGATCCCAGAAGCTAAGACCCTAACGACACTTACGGCTGGATAACAAATCCTTAACAGGTTGAGTGATTCCCAAGTCTTTGCTTTCAACAAAACTGAAGAAAGACCTAATTAAGTTGCCAGCTAATAGATCATTGAAAATAATTTTTTTTTTAAGATTTTATTTATTTATTTGAGAGAGAGAGAGAGATAGCGAGAGAGAGAGCACAAGCTTCAGGGAGAGGGAGAAGCAGGCTTCTCGTGGAGCAGGGAGTCCGATGCGGGGCTCAATCCCAGGATCCTGAGATCATGACCTAAGCCAAAGGCAGACGCTTACCTGACTCAGCCACCCAGGCACCCTGAAAATAATTTTTGATGATAGATCATTATATAGTTTTTAATCATATAACACAGAGGTATTCAGAGAATTGGCTGACATTCCTATAATGAAATTTTTCTTTCCCCATCTAATTTATGCAAATTAGGTTCCTCAGAGCTTGTCTATAAAAATGAAAAATAGGAAGAGAATTAATGTTGATTCCAGTCTCATTCTAGCAATGAGGAATATTCATCCACAGACATAATTACTTGGAAAAATTCAACCCCACCAATGGTCATTAAGAGCTATCTTTCCAATAAAATCTTACTTTTCATGTTCAATAATTATTAATATTTAAAATA